CAGGCCGAGCAGGTGGGCCGGGCCGGCCGAGTCGACAGCAGAGCAGCCCGCGGTGCCCACCACCTCAGCGCTCACCCAAACCCCGACTCCAGAACGGGGGCGCCTGGGACTGGACCCTCCCTCCAGTTCGTCGCGATCTCCACTGAACAAAACTGGGAGTGCACGAAGGCGGGGTTCTTCTCTGAATTCCAAGACCAAGGTTATGCCTGCCCCTACAAATCGGTTTAAAATTCCCAAGTTTGCTACTGGTAAGTAGTAGGAACATCTTACTGGGTTTTAAACATATTGAACAAATTGTATTTCAGGTTAAGAAAACATTAGTTTTGGTGACGCCGGTTTCTTTGCGTCCTCTCTCCGAGCGCTTTAACCGTGTCCCCCGGCTTGTTCTGGGCGAGAAGCCAGGGGGTGTCTTCTCTCACGCCCCTCCCCTCTGTGTCCGTGTCATTGCTCTTTCGCTGCTCTCAGGATTTTTCTCTTGTTATTTTCAGCATTTTGACTATTATGTGTCTGCGTGTGGCTTTGTGTTTATTATGCTTGGGAGTTCTTGAGCTTTTTGGATCCGTGAGTCGATATTTTTAATCAAATCTGGAAAAAATGTGGGCATTATTTCTTCAAATATTTGTTCTTGCTCCCTCTCACGTGCTGGGACTCTAAGCACATGTATCATAGACCTCTTGATGTCATCCTGTAGGTCACTGAAGCTCTGTTCTTTCTTCCCCCAGCCTCTTTTCTTGTGCTTCCGTTGGGATGGCTTCTACTGTCGTGTCTTCAGGTTCAGACATCTTTCCTTCTGCAGTGTGTCTGATCGGCTCTTGAGCCCATTCAGCTAACTTTTCACTTCCGATGTTATAGTTTCCCCGTTGTGTCCCGTGGTGTTTATGCTTTCCTTTAAATTCTCGAATGTGTTTATGATTGTTTTAAAGTCCGTTTCTGCTAATCGCGTCTTCCCTGTCATTTTGGGGTCTGTTTCTGTTGACTAATTTTTCCAATTTTTCCTGGTTATGGTCACATTTTCCTGCTTCTTCATTTTTCACGTGCTTGAAAATTTCTTACTGTCTGCTGGACTTTGTAAACTTCACAGCTTTGAGTATTTGGGTTTGTTTTCTTTGAGGGGCTGGAGCTGCTTCAGCGGCAGGTGCGTCCATGTCACCTGGCTCCTTCTGACGCTCCTTAAGCCTTGCTGGGGCAAGTCCCAGCAGCCTTCGCT